AGAGAGAGAGAGAGAGAGAGAGAGAGAGAGAGAGAGAGAGAGAGAGAGAGAGAAATTCCAGACATTTGGGGAGAAGGGGGCATTTTGACCCATCAAGCCCCTCTTCTAGGGAGGAAATGCAGTTACAGAGGAGTTTCCCTCTGTTCTTCCTCCTCTCAAATCTTCAAGTCTTCCTGGGTCCAGCGTTGCCCTGATGGGGGTGGGGGCAGGGGTTCAATCTGCCTAATCTGGAGATCCTTTTGGCACGCATGCCACCTAAGTTCCCAATCCCTACAAGTCTCCTCTGTCAGTAATGAACATGGCCACTTAGCCTCCATTTTTATGAGGTTAAAATTAACACAAAATGTATCACTTGCATCATTTTAAAGTATACAAGTCAGTGATGTTTATTATATTCACGATGGTGTATAACTAACACCACCATATAATTCCAGAACGTTTTCACATCTGCCCCCCAATTCCCACTCCCATTAAGCAACTGCTCCCCATATCCTCTAACTCCAGCCCCTCCAGACCACTAATGTGCTTTCTATCTCCTTAGACTTACCTATTCTCGACATTTTCGATAAGTGGAATCATGATATGTAGCCATTTATGGCTAGCTTTCTTCCTGTAGTGCAGTGTTTTCACAGCTCATCAATATTTTTGCATGTACCAATATTTAATTACCATTGACTGTTGATCTCATCAACAGTTGATGGGCATTTCATACTGCCTCCATTTTTAGCTATTAAGAATAATGTTGCTATCACCATTCAGGTACAAGTTTTTGATTGGACAAACGTTTTCATTTCTTTTGGACATCTACCTAGGAGTACGATTGTTTGGGGTACCGGGTAATTCTATCTGGAACTTCTGAGAAGCCGTCAAAATGTTTTTCCCAGCAGTCGTCCCATCTCATATTGCCACCAGTGGCAGGAGATTGCCGATTTCTTCATATCCTTGCCATCTTCTATCGTTTTCTTTTACATGTTTTCATTAATTTTAGCCTCCTTAGTGGGCATGAAGTGGTATCTCACTGTGGTTTTGAACTGTATTTCCTCAGTGACTAGTGATAAGAATCTATTTATGTATTTAATGGCTATTTCTATACTTCTTTGGGAAAACATCTATTCGCATCCTTTGCCTATTTTAAATTCATCTGTCTTTTTGTTGAGTTGTAGTTCTTTATTTCTAGATATCAACTCTGTTCAGATAAATGTTTTGCAAAGGTTTTCTCCTATCCAGCATTGTTTTTTCCATGTTTGTCTCCGTGTCTTTTGATGCACCACAGTATTTAATTTTGATAAAGTCCAATGGATCTAATTTGTTGTTGTTCTTGTTCCTTATGCTTTTCCTGTCATATCTGAGACTCCACCGTCAATTCAAAGGTTATGAAGATTTCTTCTTAAGGTTATTTTTGGCTTTGGTTTTGTTTCTCTTATTTTTGTGCTGCTGGACACTGAACCCAGACCCCCATGCAGGCCAGGCAAGTGCTCCGCCACTGAGCTACCTTTCCCAGCATCCACCGGGCCCCCATGACATATTTTAGTCTAAGGGTCTTAGAGTTCAGCTTTTACATTTAGATCTTTGGTTCATTTTGACATTTTTTTTCCTGTGCTGATAACTGAGCCAAAAGGCCTCTTACATTCTAGGCAAGAGCTCTACCACTGCTCGACCCCTGAAGCCCTTATTTGGAGTGATTTTTTGTGTTTGGTGTGAGATAGGGATCTATTTTAGTCTGTTTTCTGTTATTCATACTCTGACATACCACAGCCTGGGTCAGTTATAAAGAAAAGAGGTTTGTTTTGTTTCATAGTTCTGACCCAACATTGAGGGGCCCCAGTGAGTGATGGCCTCTTTGCTGGCAGAGTTTTGAGGTAGCATCTGGCATTCTGAAGCAAGAGAAGAGGTGCACATGGCTGTGTTCTCTGCTGTCTGTCTCTCTTCTGATAAAGCCTCAGCATTCAATCAGGGGGACTCTGATCTGATGCTAATCTGATGCTAATCATATTACAGAGGCCCAATCTTAAACACCACAGTTGAATTAAATTCCCACCCTGTGAGTACCTCAAAATGGAGATTAACCTCCAATCTGTGTTTTAGAGGGGAAAAACCCTATTCACAGCATAGTGGGGTCCAACTGTGTGCTTTTGGATAGTTTATTGTCCCAGCACAACTTGTTGAATTTAATTTTTCCCTAGCAGGCCATCTTGGCACCATGTCATACAACAAATAGATTCCTGGTTCTATTTCATTGACCTGTTTCATTTCTTATGTCTACCTTTATGCCAGTGCCCTGCTGTGCTGATTACAGTAGCTTTGAACCAAGTTTTGAAATCATGGTGAGTGAGTTCTCCAACTTTGTTCTTCTCTTTCAAGATTGTTTTATCTACTGCTTAGATAACAATCCCTTGCAATCTCATATCAGTTTTGGGATCAGCTTTTCTATCTATAGCTGCACATTTACTGGCTATAGAAAAGACTACTAAGATTTTCATAAAAATTGCACTGAATCTGCAGCTCACTTTGAGGAGTATTTCTGTCTTTTAAAAAGTAAGTCCCTCAATGTATTAACATAGAACACTCTTTCCTATTTAAGTCTTTAATTTGTTTCAGCCATGTTTTATAGTTCTCAGTGTACATGTCTTATTTGTCTTAGGTGTTTTTTTTTTTTGGTACTGGGACTCGAACTCAGGACCTTGTGTTTGCTAGGCAGGCGCTGTGCTGCTGAGCTATATCCCTGGCTTGTCTTAGTTAAATTTATTCCTATTTCATTCTTTCTGATGCTATTGTAAATAGAATTGTCGATTTCAATTTTGGATTGTTCATTGTTAGTGTATAGAAACCATCTGGTTTCTCTACAGTTTTAGTATACATTTGAACTCCTTGTTTCTTTTCTCAACTTACTCAAATATGAAATGGGAAAAGTGCTGTTCATGAGGACTCTTTCAGAAATGAACACCAGATTCACATACAGTTAGTGGCTAAGGACATGGACCAAAGAAGATCAGGTGGGAAGAATGTGTACAATGACAAAGGAGGTAGGAAAAGCATGGAACTTGGGAACAGGAGCAGTTAGAAGATGAGGTGCCCATGCAGGGGTCTAAGAAGTGACAGAAGTAACAGAAAAACTGTGTGTTTCAATTATTTGTTGCTATATCATACTGGGGTGTGGCTCAGGGGTACAGCACTTCTCTAGCATGTGTGAGGTTCTGGGTTCCATCCCCAGCACACACACACACACACACACACACACACACGGTCACTACCAAGTTTAAAGAGTTAAACCAATGACTTGTCCAACTCTTCATGTACTAGGCCGCTCCCTGACATTTGACAAAATAATTTTCCTCAGTATAAATCAAGTCTGAAGGCCACCAAGTCGGGCTTCCTCTATGTTCTTTTAGCCCCAAGATTTAAAGGTCAGAGAAGGTAATGAACTAACAGTAGTTTGCTAGTAAATATTTAACAAGTGGCTCTTCAGAGAGAAAAGGCCCTGATCTGTAGCATTTGCTGATTTCCATGGCATAAATGTTGTCCTTGGGCTGATTTCAGACTTCCAAGGTCCTGTCACTGAGCACAAAGTCGGGATGACCTGCACAACTGTCCGGCACTACCCAGCTTCTCCACCGTACAGGTACAGCAGATATAAAAAACCTTCAGAGCATAAAAATAGTGATGACTCTTAAATGTTTATTATCTTATTTTTTATATAATTTATTTCATTTTAAATTCATATAATTTTATTTTTAATAATAGACATAACAGCAAGTTTGGCAAATTCTTGCAAATTCAACAGTCATCTCTCATGAACCAAATAAGCCAGCCCCAGCCTAGACGGGTGGCACTTGTGAGCTCGAGGACACCCAGCCTAGTACCAGGGACAAGCAAGGGCCACGGTGCAGGCAGTCCTCTCTCGGCTTTGCTGTGTGTGAGAATTTGGGCCAGTTGCTGAATCTCAGTTTCTTCCCCAGTAAGATGGGGTGATAATATTCGTCTCTCCAGGTTGCTATGAAGACTAGAGACAAATGCATACAATCTGAACACAATACATGCTCAAAAATGTTAGCCTATTATTATTTTGCCACGGCAGGTTTTGGTTTGTATCTGGGGAGATATTTGGGAGTTGCTCAGGGTACAGCTGGGACTTAGCCCGTCCCCTCCTGGGCCCCAGCTTTTGTGTGAAGAAGCAGATGCAAACAAGACTGCCCTGTCCCCTTCCATGGGCAGAACTCTAGGAACCTCAGCCCTCCCTGGTGAGGAGGGGAACAGAGTCTCAGGCTCCAGGCAACCCTAGAAACTGGGGACAAGCCTGGGGTTGTGTGTCCCCTTCCAAGGGCTCCTTGGCTCCCCAAATGTATCCCCAACAGACTGCTTGGGAACTTGGCGGTGTTGCCTTTCCGTTTCATATGTGTAGCCTAAAGGGAACACAGTTTCCCCACAGCGTGTCACACAGATGAGCTTGTCTGCAAGCCGAAAGGCAGAGAGCAGGGCCAGAGAAGAGCCCAGTTACAGGAAGGCAGTGGGAGGACGGGCGAAGTTTCTGGTAGGAGCGGGGCCTTGCGGGACAGCTGGGAGGTCTGGGAAGGATAGGCCCCAAATGGCAGGGCCGGGAAGGGGCTGACGGAGAATCCACCCCAGCTGCCTCACCGCCCAGAGTTGCCTGTGGCTGCTGATTCCATACCACCTCATGGGAAAGCCAACATCCTCTACTTTTCTGTGTCCTCAACCACAGAGCCAGGGATATGGGGAAGCAGGAAGGAGGCGCAGGGCAGCTGGCACACGGTCCAACTTCAACTTGTCTGTCAGCATTTCACAGCCTCCTTGGAGAGCCCTGTGGAAAGACGAACTGAGAGGTATAATCCTTTCACCCTGGGGAGCCAGGTGGCTTTTCCCCCTAGCGCAATGGTCACTTGCGAAACAGCAGTTGCACCCTGCCATTCATGTGTTAGATATGGAAAATCCTGCATCCTGACGGCCCTCTGACCTGAGTCTGACTTGGCAGAGAGGTGTCAGTGTGTTGGGAAGCTGGCTTTGTGCCCAGCTGGGGGTCCCTGCACAAGTACTCTGGCTTCTCTAAGATTCCATCCCCTCTCTGTAAGTCAGAGACTATAGCAGCTACATGAAAAGCTTGTCGGGGTGGGGGAAAATTTGACCCAGGTGAACACAATGTAACATGGAAAGTTCTCAATAAGCTGGAGCAACGGGAGTTATCCTGTTGCCATGGGACGGTGGGCAAGCTATTTCATCTTCTCGGTCTTAGTTCCCTCATTTGCACACCTTGGGCCATGATCTGGGAGGTATCTTCTGGTCGTACATTCTATTTTTCTGACAAACAAGGTTCGCGGCCTCCACCTCTAATCTGTAAGAGATTAGGCCATTTGCTTTTGCAATGCTCAGATAGCAAAGACCTTTGACAGCCCAGAGCTCACTCCCTCCTCCTGCTGCCTTGAACTGAGTTCCAAGGCTTTGGGACAGGGAGCAAACTGGGATGTTTCTCACGGGGTCGGAAAAGGGGACAGGCTGCTGGGTGGCAGGGGATGGGTGGGCTGAGAACTACCCAGATAAACATGAAAACTGCTGGCAACTGAATAGATGTGATTTGGGGTACAGTCTGATAGGCTAATCATCCAGGGTCCCCGCACTCTCCTGTAGGATTCTACTCCAAAAATATATGAGGGTGGGGGAAGATGAGACAGACCCCCACCTTTAGGGAAAAATCCTTTGTACCCTCTGGCTGAATAAGGCAAAAGCTTCTTCTTATCATAAAGGGAGACAACCACCCTATTAATGCTCTTAGCCATGCAGAATATTTCCGGTTGTCCTTACATCCCTAGCTTGGGTACAAACTGGGATGAGAATTGAGTGCCTTGGACACAAAGCTGAGGGACAATCTTCCTTCCTTCAGACATGGGCTCCTGGGGCAGATGCTAAGCATTCAGGGCTGGCTCCTTCCCAGAGTATCTGGGGTCAAATCTATCTACATAGAAAAAATTCTTTTGAATGGAGAAACCTAAGATTATGTATAGGGTGCATTTTCTCTGATGTGTGCTTTCCCAGTCTGACTTCCTACAGGGCCTCCCCCCATTCCCATGAATAATTCTCCAATCTCAGTTAAGGAGCTGGTTTGCAGCTGGGGAAAGCCTTGCTCGTTAAAAAGATTCACAAGACCCGACTTTCCTTTGGATGACAAGTCACAGCGCTCTGTCACCTCCTCAGCTGGGAGATCTCTGCTAAATGACAAACTTCCTGAAGCTTTTTCTCCTATGCAACTTGTGCTGTGATGAACTTTGAAGATCATTTTGCTTCCTGTGTGTCATTATGTGTCACCAATTCCAAGCCTCTTCCGTACAGCCAAAGCGTCCGTCACAGAAAGGGTCTGGAGTGGGTGAGGACACGCTCCACCCATCCCCACTCTGAAGCCATCTTTGTGAACCTCTGTCACTTTGCCTCCTGCCTGGGCGCCCAAGTGTGAGCCCTGAAAGGGACATCGGGGTTTGCGGTCCCTTGTGTAACACGAGGTGCTCGCGATCTCACAGGCTATAGATGCACATCTATGTTAGTGATGACAATGTGTCCAGCAAAGTCCTTAGAGGAGTCCCCTGCTGCTATAAAAAGTGAGCCTGAGATGAGCTCCAGGCAGGGCTGCCTGTAACCATGAGAACACACACTGCCACAATTCTGTCATCCCTGCAAAAACAAAGAAAAGTTGATGTGGTTTGCTAGGTCAGCCCTGACAAAAATACCCTAGGCTGGGTATGTAAACCACAGACCGTTGCTTTCTCATAGCTCTGGAGTTGGAAGTCCAAGAGGAAGGTGTTGGCAGGGTTGGATTCTTCTGAGGCCTCTTTCCTTAGTCACCTTTTGGAGGTGCGGCCTTGTGGTCTTCCTCTACGCATGCGTGTCCCTGGTGATCCTGTCTCTTTATATAAAGACACCAGGAGGACTGGATTAGGACCCACCCATCTTAGTTTAATTGCCTCTTTCTAAGCCCTGTCTTTTCATGCTCTCTCTTTGTGAGGTTCTGGAGATTAGTGCTTCAGCAGGTGGAGTTGGGGAAAACAATTTCATCTCTGTAACAGTGAACTTCCCTGCCTCGTTTTGTTGCTGCTGACGATATCAAAAGGAGAAAGAGGAGAACATATCTAGAGTGGCAGAGGGACATAAATGTTCCAGAGATACCTAGAGTTTAGCCGCTAGAATGAGTACTAAAAAGTTTAAAAAATGGAAATCACTGGGCTTGAAATAGAAAAGGCTGCTTTTCTTTTGTTGAAATATAATTTAAATGTGCAGGGAGAATCTTTTCCTCATGTTGTCACTGCGATTGCCATCATTTGCTATAATTGAATGCCTGATCTAGCTCAAATATTAACTCCTAACCAGTAATTTATAATTGGTCCCTTCAAATTCTGCTCAGGGTCTCTTATTTCTGCTGGCTTTTTCCCTATTCTCCACAAGATGCCTGCGCCTGTGGCCCATGGAGCTGGCGGGGCCGAGGGGCAACCTGGCTTTGTGCACATCCTCGCATCCGTACTTGGCGTGAGAGTTTAGTTGGCACCCACAACAGGTGGGCTCCCCTTCCTCAACTCCTGGTTTCTCAGCACCTTCTGGAGCCATGGAGCTCTCAGAGCTCTGCCCATCCTCCTTCTGCTGTCCTGGCACACTGGCATCATGGCTGACCCCTTGGACTGCAAATGCGACTGTAGAGTCCCTGACATCTGACCTGCCCTTTGTTCCATACTGGGCTGTGCTCCCCACCCTGCCTCCTGCCCACAGCAGGGCCTGCTACCAAGGTTCTCCCTGCCAAGGGGGTGGAAGAGCCCTGTGTCCTTTGTACTGTCTCACTCCACTGAAACATGCCTTTCAAAGGGACAGCAGAGCAGGCATCTGCTTCCTGTCCTAACTCATCCTGGTCATGACCTCCTCTTCCCACAATGTGCCAGAAGAGGTAGCAGATTCCTCTACATCTCTGCTTTATAGCTACCTTATTCCTGACTCCAGGTCCAGGCTAATCCTAAATCTAAACAGAGCTAAGTGCTACCCTATGGGAGAAATTCTGTGACCTGGACCAACTGGGCTTTCTTCCTAAAGTCATTTAGAGGAAGCCTTTCCTAACCTTTAAACCTAGCCTGAAAGTTATTGTTTTATTCTGAAATCCTAATTTGAATGCCAGAAATTAATTTTCCTTTTGAAGGTTTGTTTTGGTATGGTTAAGTTTAGTTGTTTGAGCTTGATGGTTTGGTTTGATTTGGTTTGATTTTTTGAGACAGGGTCTAGCTATGTAACCTAGGCTGGCCTCAAACTCAGAATCTGCCTGCCTTAGCCTCCCAAGTGCTGGGGTTATGGCATGCATCACTCTTTGAAGTTCTTAAAGAACCATCGTAATCATTTCCTCCCCCTTCTCCAGCCTAAAGGATTTCTCTTGCCAGTAGTGGGGGAAAGAAGAGAGAGAGAAGAAAGAAAGAAAGAAAGAAAGAAAGAAAGAAAGAAAGAAAGAAAGAAAGAAGAAAGAAAGAAAGAAAGAAAGAAAGAAAGAAAGAAAGAAAGAAAGAAAGAAAGAAAAGGAAAGGGGAGAGGGAGGGGAGGAAGGGAAGAAGGGAGGGAGGGGAGAGGGAGCAAAGAGGGATGGGGGAGGGG